GATAATATGGGGACAGCTGCAGGCAGCACTGTGCTTGCGTGTTACCTTATGTAGGGAGCTTTTATTTCAATATATTTTTCTAGTTTCTTCAACCCTTCAAAGAAGCAATGATATTCTTATGTAAAATTTTGACCTTGCATCTTAAACCTAGGATTGTATAACAGCCTTTGCAATTGTCGGATTTCGATCTTCTGTGGCACAACTCCGTACGCAAGGAAGGGGCGCATTCATGTCTACAACTGTTTCATTTGTCATTCTTTACAACTTACCCGTTAACATTTTGAGTATACGATTCATCTTAACATGAAGATGCTCTTGAATAATCAAAATGGTATACTCACAGTGTAGGTCCATATAATTTTTCCATAGAACTGACAGTTATTTTCCTGTAGCTCACTTCTCCAATTTTAAATTACTTGTTTGCCAATAACTTCTGAATCACAGTATCCATCGTTTGGTTCTATATTTACACGTGTTTTTAATCATCAGAAACAATATCAATCGTAGTTTTAACTATTGTTTAATTAATTTAATGAAAATTTTACTATTCTCGGAGATTTCAAGGAATATCTATGTTAAAGAATCTTTTCATTGAGCATGTGCAAAATCAGTGAGAAACATGGTGTCAAGTTACATACGGAGCATTAAAAAAAATCGATACCTCAAGGGAACTCTGAATTTATTACTTACACGAGTATAGATGGCTGAAGCATGACGAGCTTGTAGTTCAAAGTGTTGTATGCATATTCAAGATGGAAGTAGTATTTCCGACTCTGCTAAGCATTTATTTACCGTCTAGCGAATGTGTCAACGTATCTCGTTACTTATTACACGTTCAAATTAATCACGCTTGAAGAAAGCATTGTGCTCATGCGCACAATGAAAGCTACCAGATAATTACTCTGATACAGAAGGCTTTTATCAAAGTAGTCACACACATATTACACAAAAAAAAACTTTGATATAGGAGAGGTAATTGCTTTTAGATTAGATTAGAATTGCTTGTGTTTAATGAAGACAGAAAGGAAAAATTAACAAAAAAAAACGTGTTTTCATTTCAATTGAAAGTTTTTTAAAACTTAAAAACCCATCAATGCCTCGTGTGGTTCGCCATAGAGAACTCTTAATCACGTAAATTTATTCCCATTTGTCGTGAACTTCTTGACGTTAATCTGTTATCTCGCAATAAAAAATAAAAAAGTGGCATGATATAATGAGTTCAGAAAAGGCGTAAGTTAGCACCTTACCATTTAAAATGAGCACTCCGAAAAAAATCTCAATAAACTGATTCTGAGTTTTATAAATCGATTGATATAGATGAAGGGTCCTGCCAAAATCCGTCTTTACTACATAATGAAATGAAAACTTAGACAAGTGTCATTCGACACATGATAGCTTAAGTGTCTAAAGTATCTGCTTAGTCAGCTCACTTGTAGGTTCGAATCTAGCACAATCTCACTTTTTTCGTTAAAATTCTAACCTTAACATCTGTGTGTGTGACGTTTGCTGATAAGGGGGAATTTCTGCTGTCTTTGTTTTATCTATAATGCGTTCTATTCTTATTCCATCAATATAAAGCTGAAGAAACCCGCCTTTTTTTATTTCATTTTACCGCAATCATTCACAAATAGACTCGTGAATACTCATAAATACGTGTTTTATCAGTTAACAATAAAAGTTATAAGTTTTATTGTCAACTGAATATTATTACGTGATGTGTTAGTTTTAGTGTTGGTGTGTATTATTACGTAATATATTAGTTTTATTTTGCTGAGTGTTATTATGTGATGTATTAAGGTTAGTGTTACCGAGTACTGTTTGTCTTTGTCATTTTTAAATGTGGGTTAAAATAAAAAATTATCGTATAATTATCTGAAATGTAAAGGTCCTTTTTTTTTTTCTAACTTTACTTTCATTTTAGTATTTGTTTAAACTACATTACAATATCTTTGCTGTGACATGGTATTTCGTTTTCCATAATAATACATGCCAATTTCGTTATTATTGAGCTCTTTTATTTTAAACAAAAACTTATTTAAAATAAAGATAAAGAGCCTACTTTCTTTGGGATTCATTCTTTTATTTACCTTGCTACCTCAAGTGCCTTTCAACAAACTTCCTGGTATCACTAACGTTGATATGCATTCATCGCTGTTTAAATAAACATTAAAGTGGCTCTGTATTCATTATTACCACCATTCATCTGGTTTCAACATTGTTATATATATATATATCTTTCTTTTTTTTTAAGTTTATAAAAATAGGTTTTCTTAACCTTGTGTTAGGATATCGTTGTTTTCGTTTAGGTTTGAATGTAATACAACCACAGTTAGGCCTATCGTGTTGTTTAATGCACCAGGCGACACAACGTTTAGGTTTTTTGTGTAATAGAGCCTTAAAGGTCACAAAACATTTATGTTTATATAGCCTAGTATAATTAAGAGAGGTCAGTTGTTGATTAAATTTGATATTCTTCTTTAATATATTTAGTCCCTTGATAAGGAAAATTTGTTTGACTCTCTCTCTCTCTTGTTATTAGTTTGAAAGGTCGTAATGTTACTTTCCCAGAACACACCTCAGAATACTCGCTGAACTCAATGTCGTAAGGTTACTCATCCAGAACATGCTCAGAATACTCGCTGAACTCAAGATCGTAAGGTTACACATCCAGAACACACCTCAGAATACTCGCTGAACTCAAGGTCGTAAGGTTACACATCCAGAACATGCTCAGAATACTCGCTGAACTCAAGATCGTAAGGTTACTTACCCAGAACACATCTCAGAATGCTCGCTGAACTCAAGGTCGTAAGGTTACTCACTCAGAGTGTCTCAGAATATTGGATAAACTTTTATTTTTACTCTAAACGTAATAATCTAGTAGACGGCAAGGTGTGGTGAATTTGTTCACAACACTAGAGTGAGAGTCTTGCTCTACGTCCTTAAATGTGTGCTTAAAAAAACCTTCAGTTTTAAGGAACCTGTTAGAATGTTGACTGAGAAACTACAGGCGTTTTTTCGGAGCTTGTGTGGTGTGAGGAAAACTGAGGATACCGACAGTTCTGAGCCACGAGTTATCAAAGTAACTGTTATATTACCAAGTAATATCACAAAATTCCCGTAATTAGGGCTTTAATATTAGCACTTGTGCTCGTGGATGTTTCAAAATAACCTTGTTATTTCAAGTAACTCGGTATACTTATTAAATCACGTGAAATTGGATAGGTGTCAATACGATCTACAGCTATAATTGTGATGATTTACCCTTTTCAGTACAGCTCTGTGGTATTTGTGTGTGTGTGTGTGTGTGTGTGTATATATATATATATATATATATATATGTGTGTGTGTGTGTGTGTGTGTGTGTGTGTGTGTGTGTATGTAGTGTATGTATAGTATACGTACTAACATATATTAGTTGTTAGAGAGTATTAGTTAATTATTAGTCGTACTGTCTGTACACGCCATAGT